GTCAGAGCTCTTGTTGTAGACACCATTGCTGCGCAGATGTCAGAGCTCTTGTTGTAGACACCATTGCTGCGCAGATGATGGGGTTCATGCGCAAAAGTTCAGTCTCATGCTGTAGACATCTTTTATGCACAGGTATTGAACATTGTACTGTAGACGTCTTTTGTGTACAGATGTCAGGTGTTGCTGTGATCTTCCTGCAGGTGTGGTTTCAGAACCGGCGAACCAAATGGCGTAAGAAGAGCGCCTCAGAGCCGAGCTCCACACAGCCGGTCGGGCCAGAGACGGGCACATCCGAGAACGAGGTGGAGGATGAGGAGTACAACAAGCCTCTGGACCCCGACTCGGACGATGAGAAGATCCGCCTGCTGCTGCGCAAACATCGCAGGGCTTTCTCCGTGCTGCGGCTGGGCCCGCACCACGTCTGACACCCACGCCATGTCTCCACTCGCGTGGGTGCGCGTGCAGCACACTGCGTTTGACTGACACGCCGAGCACACAAGCAGAGACCATCTTCCGCTCCTCACCTGACTGACATTAAGACATGCTGAGCTCAGGCAAGCACACATGCACACACGGGGACTTCAGCCTCCAGACAGAATATCCGAAACAAACCTCCAAAAGCACAGGGGGCGTTTGCCAAAATAAAACACTGTGGCTTGCCAACACTTTTCCTGTAATCTCATTTGCGCTGTTCCGCCCCGAAGTGAGTGTGACACCGCATGAGTCTTAAGTGACATAACTCACCTTAGAAAGCAGTATAGTTACTAATGATCAGGACCTTGATTTTGCCGGGCAATATTGTCAGCACTGGGAGTTGCCAGCTGTAGGAATTGTGGCCACGAATAGAAATCACTTTGAAAGTTTCACATCTAACTCATTGACTTTAATAGTGTCGCAAACTTACAATACTTGGTGATTGTCAATTTTCTGTAGCAAACCTCTGCGTTACTTTACTTACTTATGCAACCTCTGCCATTCCATAATAAACCAATAGCCATTGACTGTTAGAAGACTGACTATATATTGTATGTAGCGACTGAATGCTATCTTCTAAGGGTACGATTAACCCTGATGTGATGCACCTTTTCACCACCAAATCCTGACCTTAGAAGAAGAATCAGAAGAAGAATCTGTCTATTCTAAGATCTCTTTTCAGAAGAAGACTTTTTGTAAAAAAATGTCCCCAATATTTATTCTGTAGTTAAGTAGAAAAATACTGGGGACTATATTCCTGGAACACCTGTTACACCATCACTTTACCTAATAGGAAATTTAAAAACAGAATTTGTGGAGTGTCATCCTAGTTTTTGAACTCCTGAATTAGTGGTACCTTTGGTTCTATCTTATTTAGTTAGAGTATTTGAAAATTACACGACAGAGAAGGAGAGCGATCTTTAGAAGGCAAGCAAAAGTTTTATGAATGGGGTCCTAGAAATGTATACCAAGGTATGGAAGCAGTTAATAAGTCTGTTAATTGGAGCAAAAACAAAAACTCAGCCAATCCATGGGGCCAGAGTTGTTGGCCAGTGTATTTGATATTTGCTGATGGTGCTCTGTGGGTATGGCATACCTGAGACACCAGCAAGAGACTGAAATCTGACTGTGGTGACTCTATTGCCAATGTCTGGAACACGCTACAAGGAGCAATCCAGCAGAACATGTAACCATTAAACCTGTGGCTGTTCCATTTACAGTTTAGACTCCATTACAGAGACCTAAGCACTATAATATATTGTAAAACAGATTGTCTGAAGAACTACCGGGCTGTGAGACTGTTTGCTGGGTAAAACAGTATCTTATGTCTCTACCTGTGGGACACTCTTCAGTGCATGTGTTTTTAACTGTGCAGTTTCTAAATTCTCAATGTACTCGAGACTATATAAATAAATTGTATAATAAAATACTATGGATTACCTATTGAGTGTGGTAACTGTATTGGATTTTTTTAAAGCTAAACTTAATGAATGTGCAGCATTTCATCGTTTGTACTCCTAACGCAGTCAATATTTAAATCAAAATCGAAGTTAAATTACAATACTTTTGGTACAAATGTATTAAAATCTTTCTCCTTGTTAATGGCAAAAAAGAAAGATGGTCAGGTTTTGTCCACGACAGAAAATAATTCTAGTTAATAATATTTATTGATATAATTAATTGTTCAGACAGATTGAGTACTGCCATCCTGCATCTCAAAAATTGATTTTACCTTCCCGTGTAGAACTACCTCCCTCTGCTGGCGAGCCCATATCTAGGTAACCATTGGATCATCGAAAACTAAATACTGTACATGGAACAATTTGTTTGTCTTCAATTGCTGGATGAGTGCCATTAAACCCACTCCATTCACAATAGTTTGCATTGCACAGGGTTCAGATTTCTGCCTTAAATATGCCTTGATAATCTATGCCAACTGCAGTCAGTAGGACTGTAACACATTAAATATTAAATTCTGACATTTTCTTTCCATATTCTCTTCTTGAATTCAAAAGCATTGTACAAAGCTGCTTACTGCAACTGGTATCACCATATTTTGCCCATAAAGCAGGACATTGAAGCCCACTTTTAGTATTCTACATCTACCCAAGAGAACATATTGCAGATTGGGGTTATAATAATCAAATTATGTTCTGAGTTTCATTTAATTTCACATTTAGGTCCTGGACTCCAGCTCATAGTAACTTCCTGACCCACACACCGTTGCTGTTTCAACACAGCTCTGAATCACCATGTCACAAGGCAGAAGAGTAGTTAATGAAGTATTTCCTATTAACAGTGAATAACAACATTTATTAAAATACAGTTACAGTATATCTTATTCGATTTTTATTAGCTGAAAAAAACAGCACGGGTTATTCAAATCTGGTCTTGCAAGGACCAATCCTGTAAGTTTTATAATCCTCTTTAATTCACCACTTAATTGCATCGGCGTGCAGTGTATTACATCCTAAAGAAGATGACTGGAAATAAACATCATATCAATATACATATGAAATAATAATTAAAGTGTATTGAATTACGAACTCCGGATAGGGATCACTAAAGCAGAGATTCAGGAAACTTCCTCTAAACCAATTTATGCATGAATATGTTTTATACACAAGAGGGCATAGAAAGTCACCCCCCTAGGTGCAATGTTAAGGTGAGACCTGTTAGAGTAACAGCTGGGGTGTTCAGTTCAAGTTCAGCAGTCGTCCTGATACTTCAGGACTCTCTGTTCCCTTCAGTCCACTGGTGCTGTTCTGGTCAATGCTCTCTCATTGCTATTCTGCCCTCACAATATCCACCCCACCACAGCTACATCCTTTATAATGTACTTTAGTCAAATATGTCTCTTGTGTCAAAGCTCAATGGGCACTTTAACCATTTAAGAGCTGACAGCCTGGTGATGCATCGTCATCATTACAAGCGTCATACATTACCGGCAAAATCAATATGACACTGCAACTCTCTGAGCTTTACATAAATTAAAACTGCTGCCAGGGGAGCCACGTGCAAATCGAAAAGAAAATAAATGGATGAATGAATAAATTGCGCGTCTCTTTATACCCCGGTGAATGAAAGCTAATGAATGTGCCAGCACGAAGGGGAATAGTAAGATAAACTGTTGTACACAGTGGTGTGCATGACTTTAAAACAGAAGGTTGAAAGTGGGAGTGTGGGGGGCTGGTGGTAGCGAGTGGTTAAGGGCAGCACGCACAGAGAACTGGATGGTTTGTTAAAATTCTGACCATGAAGTAGAAGTGATCACCAGAGGCCATCACTGCTGCAACCTCTTAGGAATCTAGTCTAGTCTCTTCCATCATTTTAGCCTTCTTTGTATGTAGACCCCAAACATGGACGCTAAAATGTAAAAAATAGCACTATCTTGGAACTCTTAAGCAAAGAGCTGTAACAAGCCTCTCTTTCTCCTAGGTCTTTACCAGTCTGTCCCTTTGTCTCTTGCGGGGGAGTACGTGCATGATTGTCAATGAGCAGATAAATAGCTCAGGTGAGTGCACTCTAATCAGAGCAGAGACTGTTGTGCAACTTCTGTATAACAGTCCAGAAGGCCACCAGATGTCCAGACTTTCTAGTACAGGACAGCAGTTATGCAACGCCTATGGGTAAAGTTTAAAATTAATGAACTATTAGGGGTTGGTTGACTTGCATGCTAGCAGAGCCTGTTCTCAGACAGAGGGGACAGGGATCTGGACTTATGCGGTGTGCTCCACAGAGGCCGGGCTCACCTTAAACCAACCATGGCAAGCAGTCCCAGAGACCAGCACCACCCAGGCCCTTTCTCTTTAAATAAGTATCATGTGTCTGAGGAGTATGGCTTTGTCCTTCCTGCACCACTGGTAGGTTAAAATATTCCATGGCCTTTCTTCTTAGCACAGTATTTTCGTTGCAGTTTCCATTTTTAAAACAATGTTGTAGTTGTTTTTGTTTTTGTTGTTATTGTTGTGTGTTTGCAATTCTAACTGATCCACTTGGTTTTGCACCACTTTCTCTAGACTTGCTCATTGAACTACATGGTAGAGAAATTATGACAAACCTATGTTACAGCTAAAATTCTCAGGTATTGCAAAAGATCCTTCAGATTTAGAAACACTTCAAACGGTAACTAGAAATCACACGGAAATATTTCAAGAATGCAATGCCAACAGTCATCAAAAGCAGTCTCCTGCCTGTAATCACCATAGGAAAAGTCTTATCTGTGTATTGATTGTCTGTCTTTTGGAAGCAAAATGTAGGTTACAAAAAGTCAAGCAGTAAACTGCTCCTCTTTTTTAGGTAAAGGCTTCTTTAGCCATGCTTTAGTTCCCTCTTGTGTGTTGTAAAACATCAGGACCTGTGCATTAAAGCACTATACTGTAGGTCAAAGCTGCTCTTGCAATGGGGACATGCAATCTGTTAAATTGAGCATTGGTTCTTTTTTTGAGACGAAGTTTAAAAGGCAAAATATTTGAAAACATTTCTGTATGCTACTTTGAAATTGTGGGGAAAGTGTTTTAAATGTTTGTTATATTTGAAAAGAACTCAATGGCTCTTGAAAATCCCAAAGGAACACACATGCAAATCAGGCAGCTACTAAACACAAGGGACCACAGAGTGTTTTGATCCTGTTTCATGTATACACAGTTTTAACATTCAGGTCCAATTCTTTTAGTCTATGGTAGAAGTGCCTTTATATGCCAACAGACTGCAGCAGGGCTGTAAAACTGGGTGCCTAGAGGTCTGTGGTCTCTCCTGACTTTTTGATTAAGCTCTTTTTTTAATTTAATGGGCTAATTAAAGGATTAAATTTGACACATTTAACTCTTCTTTCCATGTTTAATTAAAAATTAAAGGGATAATTTTCGAAAGAAGGACATAATTGTGTCACTTAAGTAAAACGTGTGAAGTTAGTGTATATTAAAATGTGTTTAAATATTCCAGCACTAATACCAACTGTACTCCTTTCCCTATCTCCATCCACAGCCCTTATTAACCATGCACTTACACACAGCCTGGCTACAAAATACTCCCAGCCTTGTCAGGAGGCAATCCAAGCATGAGAGGTCACATGACCACATCATGGCTATAGGGTGACACACCAAATCAGGACAGAATGTTAACAGGATATGAAAGACCAGTGATCTGAGAGACTTTGAAAGGTGGCCTGACTGGGAAATGAATCAATAGTAAAGACCACAGAACTATAAGAAAAGGTGAAGAGTACTGCGTCTTGCCAGGAGAAAGCCGAGCTTCAAACACTGTCTGTCAACAGGAGAGAGTGAAAGTTGAAGCGACTATTGTAGGACAGAAGCAAATGAACCTCATCATGTGTAAAGGAATAGTTGAGCCACAGTTCAGCATTGGGTGTCAAGCACAGATGCGGTCCTAATAATCCTTATCAACATACACAATGCCCTGGAAACATTATTAAGGGCTGGTTCCTAATAATTTGGCCAGTCCATGTAGTGATGCTTTGACCTTAAGTAGCAGCTAGCAGAGCTTAAGTGTCTGGAGTTGAAACAGCCAAACCAGAGGAGTAAAACTGCCCTCTCACTTCCTCAAGACAGACCTCCCTCAGTATTACCAGCCCTGGATGCAGATTGCCAGGCAGCTGACTGAACTCATTGACAGCCACTCACTGCGCTCGGAAGTCCACAAGGTAAGGTCCTGGAGGAGCAGAGGAGTAAAGATCTGATCCAATTGTTAACAGATAGATGCACAACATAGATGGGTCCTCCCCAGTTTAGCTGTAATGACCTGAGCTCTAGGGAAACTGCAGCTGTTGGTTGATTCTTAATACAACTTTGTCTTTTGCTTAAATGATTGGGCAATTCATATCTGCACTGACCGTCTTAGTCACTTCAGGGAGAAATACTGCTTAAAAACGCAAAAAATTTTGATTTGAATAAAACTTGGATTCACTGATTAAAACTAGGATCAGAATAAAGTAGCTTCGCAGACTCCTTGACATCACTTAAATTTAAATTGTTTTTATATACATTCGTGTATTTTATTAAAAAAATGCAGAAAAGATGAACGTCGAGGTTGACTTTAGTATGTTATGCTGTAGCGCCATCTAGTGTGCCCAGTGTGTCTTCACAATTGGTCTAAATTTTGGAACGATAAAAACGCTTCTAAGACTACAACAGGTTTTTAGATTCAAACTGAAATTGTTTTCATTCTTTTATCCGTCTGTTCATTGTCGGAAATGTTCCTTGTAAAGAGAACAACAACCACGAGCCTATTCTAGAAGCACAGGGAGTAGGGTGGACCTAAATCCTGGAAGATACAACAGTGCACTGCAGGGTCTGCACACAAATGCCATATCATTTTTTATGGCATGCTCTTGACCTTGACATAGAAACCAGCAAAAGCCCATATTTGTAATAAGCCAGCTGGTCCTCAGACATATGACATAATTAGTTCATGAAAACTAAGTTTTAAGTAGAAGTAAAAAGTCTTACTAGTATTCGAACTCTCCCCCCGTTGCTCCTTTGATCATAATAAAGGCTCTTTAACAGTTAATCAGCCTGTCCAGTACACTCCTGAGTTATCACAGTTAATTACATAGGGGGCCAAGCTCTGAACACATTATTGAATTCTTTACTTGTTCTTCAGGATAGTTTTGATGGTGGCTCGGGAGATATCCAAAGCTTAACTGATTTGACTTGGTGTATCTCCTTTTTTGGATCTCAGTTATTCCCACGTTTGTTTCCATAATAATCGTTTTTCTTTTCTTAGGATAACCTGTCCCGTTTTCACCCTTCCCCACCATTACTATGGACAAAACAATACACAAACAAGAATTCCAAAGTCGAAACAGGAAACAAGAAGAACAAAGTAATTCAAAGAAATAGGCCATGTAGTATACAGAAGCACACTTTAACTAATAAACTTTAACTTTGCTCGCTGACATGTTGTGGCTGCAGACCAATTGTCATAAAGTTGAAACGTGGTTGTAAATTGTGTATGTACCTTTCTTCAAACATCATAAACCCGAGGACTGTCTGTACAGTGTAGGTATAACATGTTTAATCAATGTATTTTATATTTATATTCTTCTTAGCACTTGTAATAGTAGTTTTCTCTTGTTCCCTGTATTCTCAGCACTCATTTACGTTGCTTCCTCAGTGGTTCAATATACAGTACTGTACAATTTTTTTTTTCACTGTCTAAATATTCACTATGCTTCACAAGCATGACACTTGTGTGATTTTCCATTGTATGTGCTGTCTGCTTAGAATCTTTAAAGGGCTTCACCTCCAGCAGTCTCCCTCCACTCTTTGTTCTCCCAGATGCCTCAGCTGGATACCTGCTACCTACAAACACACAGGGAGCTGAGACTGGCACATCTGGCACTCAGCCTTCTGACAATGGGCTACGTGTGGCAGGAGGGGGAGGAGGGCACAGTGAAGGTACAGGGCACGTTTCAGCTCTCAGCCACCAGCCTTCTGCTGCCCACAGTCATTTTCTGTTTCACAAACACCAAGAGGGCAGAATACTGTAGTCCACAGAGGACTTTACTGCAGACAAAGCTCCTGACATCACTCATACTCACAAAAGGATATTGCTGGTACAAAGTCACACATATTTGTTTAAAATAGCGTGGTGATCTACACTCAATTCCTTCCGAATGTGAGTGTGAAATAGACTGTACGGCATTACTCACAGTCCAGTCTTCTCCACTTCATTCCATATTCCCCTGTCCTTTCTTTAAAGAGCAGAGTGGTGCCACAAAAATCTGGATAAATCAGAAATGTGCACACTAAACACTGAAGCATCCACCCTGTGACATCAGTGGTGATCTTCCACGTCACTTCAGCTCAGTGCTGGGTGATCAGAGTGACTGCCTGTGAGGAACCGATGCTCAGAGCCCTTATAAGATCTGACAGTGGATTTTAACTTAGCTCCCAATGCACAGCACAAGTGAAGCTGATCAATGCCTTTATGACACTCTGCAACTTTAGATTTTTTGATAGCAAATGTATTTCTCAGGGGTTTTTGGTTTTATAATAAATAAAATAATCATAAATGTATTAAAAAGTACTGCAGCAAAGATATGAGCTAATATCAGCTGTTGAACATAAACCTGTTATCCTGTTAACAGGATCCTCTGAACAGGAAGTTGTTACCTTAGTGCCAGCAGCTATATCACCCTGCAACTCCTAATGACTGAAGCTAAGCAAGTGTGAGCCTGGTCAGTATCTGGATGGAGTCCTGCTGGAAGTGTTAGTGGGGCCAGTAGGGGGCGCTAACCCTGCAGTCTATGTGGGTCCTAATGCCCCAGTATAGTGACAGGAGAACTGTACTATAAAAAGGCGCCGAGGTTTTATAAACTCCCACGGCGTTTCTCGAAAAGAGTAAGGGTCTTACCCCGACATTCTGGTTAAATTTCCCCATTGCCCTTTACCTTTACCCCTCCTAATAATCTCCATCTGTGAACTGGCTTCATCACTCAGTTCTCCTCCCCCTTGATAGCTGACTACACATTGGTGGTGGTGGAGGGGAGTCCCCATTACCCGTAAAGCGCTTTGAGTGGAGTGTCCAGAAAAGCGCTATATAAGTGTAAGCAATTATTATTATTATTTTACAATAAGTCCTGAACTCAAACTCTCTTAAAGGGGGATTCCTCTTACAGGCGTTCTGTCATCATCCCTATGTGTAAGTGTAAGGAACCGTAATTATTATACACCTCTCTGTCCTTTTATATCTAGAAAATGTAATGCCCGCGCAAGCGCCGGTGATCGGTCCCGCATACACAGGCGGGACTGCACACCTCCCGGCGCTGTTAAAACACGCTCACGGCTAATTAATGTATTATTTAATTATTAGTTGCAATTGTCGTCACATACTTCTCCCGCCCTTCACTCAGGGCTCTGTCATTAGCTGAACTGCAGCGCGATTGCTACCTTGAAGCTTCCTTTCGCCAAGTTTCTCCTTTCCCCTCTACGGTTTTGCGCATCCTTAATTATATCCAGGGGTTTCTATGGCCTTTGCAACTGCCTCTCTGAAGCCTTGAGTGTTGGGTAACTTTTGTGTCTTTCTCTTTTTTTTTTTGGTTCCCCTTTAACCTTTTGTTGCGGTGTTCCCCACCTCGCTTTTTTCCCCTGCCCGCGTCATTACAAAAAAAAAAAACCCATATAGAAATACAAAGGAACAAGTCAAGGTTTATTCCATACTGAAAAGAGAAGAAAGAAACACAATGTTTCAGCTGTGGAGCCTTCTTTGGGTGTCGTTGCGTTTCTGTTCTTCTCTTTTCAGCATGGAATAAACCTTTACTTGTTCCTTTGCAGCCTACGCATGGTGACACAGCTACCTTCTTGAACTACGATAGAAAGACAAATCTCACTCCTGTTTCCTGTTACTTGGAGCAAGTGATCATGTCACATACTGTACACTAAGCATAACACTCAGGCACAGATTATCAAGGACAGTTCTGCCACGTACAATCCACATGCTCAACTCAGCCTTGTCTTTCATCAGGTATTACCCCAAAACCTGGCTGTCCCATACTGGGAGGTTTCCCAGCGCCTGGGGCTCCCTCCTATCCTGACGCACGCAGACGGGGTCCTGGCCAACTGGAGGAAGACCAACCCTGAGGGGTGAGTTCTGGGAACTCATTATAAATTGTCACCAGCTACGTTTTCTAGTACATACAGGGGAACAGTTAAGGTGACTCATACACGCTGCTACTTATAACTCTCGGGCTGTCACACTCCCTTTGTGCTGCTGGGGTGAAGTGTACGTTTACACAAGATCATGACCAACATATTCCCAGAATCCGCAACTTCAGTAACAGGAAAATGCAGGTGACATCATTTTAATTTGAGGCAATATTCTTTTAAAGGATCACAAAAATAATTGAAATGCTTTCTCCACGTATATTACAGTAGTTCCTAATGAATGCAGTATCCAATACTATGAGTTAACTGCTGAAAATGTGCCAAAAGTATAGGCTGGAATAAGTATAATTTTATCACAAATGAGAGCTGAGTTGTCCCTCATCTTTTCATTGACACAATAGATACTCATCAGTCATTATACAGTATAAAGCAACAAGCAAATTAGTTGACTTATTCTGTCTCTTCCCCCCTCACTTAAACTTGTCACTCGCAGCTCTCCTCAAACCACAGGGATGTCTTTGAGCAGAGAATGGTAATTATTTCTAAGACAAGCCATCGTGTTTGCAGAACCACACACAATATACTGTATTTTCACCAGTCAGACTATGTAGTCTGTGGTATTAGTGGTTGAATTTTCCAAGTGAATACAGGAAACAAAGATTCAACCGATTCAAGATATCACAGTGAATGTGATATCATGGCACTGATAGAACAATCCTGCCTTCTCAGTTTTTAACACAAAATTGCTTTACTGCTTTTTAGACTGCTATAAAATACATTAAACAGCGTAATATGTTAACTGAATGAAAAAGACAGATTGTTAAATGCTACAGTCTTCCTGCTGTAGTTTAGATCAAATTGATCAATTTGCTCTTTCTAGTAGAATTATATACTTTTAAATAACTACTGTAAGTAATAAGAAATATATTTTTTCTGTACAGTACTGTACAGTATATCATTGTTTTATTTGCTAGATGGCTTTCCTGAACATGTCTGTGATTAACTGAGTCATGCAGTGAAATGCATCATAGTTGTAGGCTTTCTGTCTTATTTCAGGCAGGTGACAGCTTGTTAAAAGAGTAGTTCATATTACTTCCATTTTCCTGTTTTTACATCCTGATATTACTGCTTGGTATATTTCACAGATGAGGTAAGATTTTTTGGTGTTCAGAACACTATTTTCAATGCTAATCTGGTGTTCCAGAAAAAGTTAAGAAAGGTCAAAACTGAATGGCCCAGCTGGTCCATTTGGTAGTTAGTAACTAATTGATCTGAGGAGCTCATCCAGCTGTTTCTTGAAAGAAGGCAGGGTTTTGGCTTCAACAACATTGCTAGACAGCTAGGTATCCCTACAATCTTTTGTGTCCTGTTTTCAGATTTAATAAACCTTTCAAATAGTTTCCACTTGTGACAGCTGTTTTGTGTTTCTCTGCTAAAACTGTAGAAGTTCAGTATCAAGTTCAAAATCAGGGCTGATACTGGTTTGGCTGTCAATGCCTGTAAGAACCTGCAGTGCTTAGACCATCAGTTTGGAAAGACTCTCACCCTTGAAACAGAAAATACAATACACATGATTGTTGGCTGCACAAAATTAAATGTATAGCGCAGCACTTATTTGCAGTATCCCAGATTCTTCATGCAGAACCCTACATCTGACATGTTTCAGGAGTGCATTTAAAGAAGAAACACCAGTCGATTTTAATAAAGGTCAGACTTATATCCCAGCTTTTTTAACAGAAAAGCACATGTTAATCAATCAATGGTACTGTACAAAGCTAAAAAGCAAATTAAATGTTATTTTTAGAGGAATGTAGACACTATGGATGGATGGCATCCTTAAAAAGCTTTATGAAAACAAATAAGAGCACAGGCAAAACATACAATAGAGGAAAGATGCTACTGTCGATTCAAATTAGATAAAAAATTCTATTTCATTCTCAGAGGTATACATCTTTCCTACGTGCTTGTGCTTGACTGTAAACACTGTGAAGATGGAAGAAATAATCAGTGAATTTACAGTAAATTACATCATGCTTTACATTTTGAAAAAAGACAAATGCTAATGATATTTTTCCTAATTTTTTCTATTTCTCCCCCGGAACCACTTATAAGCCCTTTTGAGATGGAGTAAGTATTTCCTATTTCCTCATTCAATGTGGATTTCAAAATGTACACAAAAAGCCTACACTAGCAATCTCAAACTCATCTCCCCAAATGTCTTCATTTATTATACATATACCTGCGGTGCTCCACTTATTACCACTAATTACAGTACATCTCTCCAGAATGAGCATTTACCACTAGCACATAGACCTTACTCCACTCTGTACTCTCTCTTTTCTATTAACCAGCTGAAAATCATGTACATGCATGAACGTGAATGTCTATCACCTGTAATTTAATAATTAATCTCTTATGAGGATCTTTATTAAAAGCTTTCTGGAAATCTAATTACAGTATACCAATTTATATGCTTTATTTTTACCCACAACTTCTGCTGCTTGTCCAAAAAACTCTAAAAAGGTAACTAAGCAAGGTCTACCTTTATAGATCCATGTTGGCTATGTCATAAGATATCCCTATTGACATAAAAATGATTCTATAGTTGGTTAGCATTTCTATAACCTAATTGAGTAACACTCGTTGGTCAGTAGTTAATTGGTAATACTTTTCCAGTGACCCTGTCTTGAGTGAGAGTGAGTTTTGGCAGTGTATTGTTAAAAATAAGAATGAAATATAAAAAACATTTTTAGGCATAACTGATTAAACACAGTACCATCAGACCCCAGAGGCTCTTTTATCTTAAGTTCTCTAACTACCTGTAACACTTCTGCATCCTAGGATAATACTATTTAATATAGAACTCTATCCTAAGCCTAAGGCATGTTGTGAATTATTTCCATAGTAACCACTTGAGTGAAATTAATACATCAACTCTTCCACTTTGATTCCCTCAGACTTTCCCATTGTTGTTTCTTAGACTCGTTGCTTCATCCTTTGCTATACTTTTGTTGTTGAAAAAAACTTTTTATTATTATTTTAGCTGCTATTGTAATATTCCTTTTCATCTAGACTGTTCATATTTTCTTCTTGTTATAGATATTTAATTAATTCATTTTCTTTAATTGAATGTTTTTTTTATAATTTTGTAAAGTGCTTCCTTTCTCCTCAGATTTATATTAAATTGATGCATTAAAATATTTGAGCCACTGCTTTCTAGCCTTGATTTGCTCATTGCTAGGACAAAGCTATACTGAACTTCAAGCAGAATATCATTAAAATGCTGCCATCCATTCTCTACTTAGTCCATATTTATCCCGTCCCAGGATAAACGTCTTTTAAATTTAGGAACAAGTAAAGGTTTATTCCATGCTGAAAAGAGAAGAAAAGAAACACAACGTTTTGGCTTTGGAGCCTTCTTGACACCTTTTCTTCTTTGTAGTCTACGCACGGTGATGTACTTGTAGCTACCTTCTTGAATTTCTTTTTAACTTATTCTAAAGTTATTAGTCTTATTCTAAACCTCAAGTTGTTTTGCATGTTACTTGAGGTCTGCATTGGTGCAACTTATCTTGAGATGTGGAAACGCTGTGCTGCTGATGCACTTTTCTTAGTTATAATTTGACATTGCATTAAGAAAACTGAAATTGACATGATAACTATTAGTCATACACATCAGCTGTACATCAAAAGATGTTATACAGGCTGAGGTGACTGTACTGCCAGGGGTATCTGAGAAGTAATTTAGATGCTAAGTTGTGAATCTTAGTTGATGGGGTTGTGTGCTGGCTGGAATCTTTTCAGGAACCTGGAGCTGATTTTGACTCTTCCAGGAGGGGACAGTGTCAGAGGATTTTTCCTGGTGACCCTGCTGGTCGAACTGGCCGCTGTCCCAGGTGTAAAGGTAAGTTTCCTCCCAACTCCCAATCTCATGCCGATCAGATTAATTGGTGTCTCAGAATCGTTCTGGGCATTCTTTTTTGTGTATCCTGTGAAGGACAGGCATCACAGTCAGGGTTAAGTTTCTCGTTGAGGAGTGCAGTTGTATTAAGCAATAACCTGTCACAATCCTCGACAGCAATGATTGCCAATCCTGGACGAGGAGGAGCAATGTAGCTGCTGAATTTCATTCCAGCTGATCTCTAAATCCCCAGTGCTTAATGATGATGATTGAATTGATCTCCCTTCTTATTTAAAACTTTTAGTAATAATTTTAGTTAACTCGTTTCCTCACTCAGTCCTGAGTGTCAAATAGACCCTGCTTCTAGTTTCCATCAATATCAGAATTTCTGACCAAACAGCTCTTAGTAGCTGTTCAATTTATGCTAAATATTTACAGGTGAAATGACAATCTATAAACACTTGCACAATAAACTTCTATTTACTTTTGCAGCAGTTCAGTTGGTAGCATTTCTGAAACTGGTACAGTGTTAATACCATTTACAAATCCCTTTTCACCTTTTAAGAGCTGAAATATGTCACAGACTGACAGATGGTGGCTTTGTGGCTAAGGATCTGTGTCTGTGGCTGGAAAGTTGCCGGTTTGTATCCTGTGGCCAGCAGAGGAATCCTACTCCATTGGGCCCCTGAGCAAGGCTCTTAACCCCAACTGCTCCAGGTGTGCTGTATAAATGGCTGACCCTGCGCTCTGACCCCAAGCTTCTCTCCCTGTCTGTGTATCACATGGAGAGCAAGTTGGGGTATGTGAAAAGACAAAATTCCTAATAGAAGAAATTGAATATGGCCATTAAAATGATCTGATCTTATTAGCCTGTGATTAAGATCTCAGCAAAAAACACAAGGATTCCCCAGGATCAGAGCTGAGAAGCTCTGCTGAATTGATTGAAGCAGATAGAATATAGATGGATGTAAGACAATAATGTGAAAGTCTGGTAAAAGCATAGTAAGAACATGCTTGTGCGGCATGTGGAACGCGTGTGTTTTGCTCAGGCCAGTGAAGCTGTTGTGCTGTGTTGCAGGCGATCCCCAGGATGATTAACAGCATGCTACAGCAAGACAAGCAGACTGTGCAGGCTGGGCTTAACGACATCACTCAGGCCCTGAAGAACATGACTGATGCTATCAGACTTATGCATGGTAAAATAAAGAGCCTACAGGCCTCTGTCCACTCTACACACAACTGCCCGTTACCTGGGAAACTTTTAAATATGTCTCTAGAAAATCTATATGTTTCAGAGTGAAATACAGAGTGTATAAAACATTTAGCATCCTTGTTTATTCATGATTTAAACAACACAGAAAGGAAAAATATATATTTGCACCCACTAAAATTTCCACAGGATAACAACAGTTCCTTATTCAAGAAAAGATACTTACACAAGGAGCCTGGCATTATCTCAATATTTTGAACAAAACATCCACAGGATTTATCTCAAATCTCTTCTTTCCTGTCTGATTCCAGCACATGTTGACCCAGCTGTGTTTTATGGGATCATGCGTCTTTATCTCTCTGGGTAGGTGTCCTCTTTGCAATTATTAAGGCGTTTTTAATTACTACCTTAATCATATAAATACCTCTACCCTGGAACATGCCAAGCCCTAATGCTACACTCTCTTCACTTCACTGTAAGCTTTCATGGTGTGAGATGATACCTAAGGCAAATGTATTTGTTGTGCTAACAAAACACTTTAAAGAGAAACTCTTGTGGACACATGAGGTAACTAAATGGTAGAACCAGCAAAAAGATTTGTTTTGAAATTGACTGAAAATGATTTCCTGGAGAACCAGAGATTGAATTTGACTCTTATAACACTAAATACATTAAGAAATCTTATATTTAACATCTGGACTTTGTTGCCAACTGTAGCCTGCTTTCTTTATACTGAAACTTAGCTTTTTTTTGTTTATTCTAACATTTTGACTGTCCAAATGACCAGACTCTTAAGTATCAGCTGTACTCCACAGATGTAATTGCTCATCTGAAACCAACAAACACTTGACTGAAGTTTGAGTGAGGAGTTGCGTTAGTGTGCAAAAAATAGAAATAATGCAATGTTTTGGGCTGTTGAGCTCCTTGAGGTGTCCCATACTGTATATAACACTCGACAGCTTAAACATTTTATTTCTTCAATGTCGGCCATGTTGTGGAACCGACTTCAGAATCCATTCCGATATTTAGGGTCACAAACAAAATCTGATTATTTATTAATCATGTTCATTTAAATACACCATCACTGCAATGCACCAATCAGATTGATGCAACAAAGTGATTGTTAAGAATATCTCTAAGCTGCCACCTGTCCTACTTTCTGTGCAAAGTAAAAAGTGGGGCCTTCCTTCTCGTGTGTGTTTAGGTGGAAAGACAACCCCCTCATGGCAGAAGGGCTGGTGTATGAAGGGGTGCGCACAGAGCCACTGCAGTATTCGGGGGGCAGCGCGGCCCAGAGCAGCTTGCTGCACTGCTTCGACGAACTGCTGGGAGTCCAGCACGAACCCGAGAGCGGTGAGGATGAGCTGCATGTTTCTTCTGGAAAGCACACGAATTGAGAACCTGGATAAAAAATCACATTTAGCCAGCTGTGCAACACTTTATATCCGGTGCTAAGCTGTGTGACTTGATATGGCCCTGCAAGTCACAACTGGCAGCCCACTGCAGCTCAGCAGGTGTGAACCTGGTCAATACCTGGATGGGAGGCTCCTGGGAAAGCTAAGGTTGCTGCTTGAAGTGGTATTAGTGGAGCCAGTAGGGGGCACTCACTGCTGTGATCTATGTGGGTCCTAATCCCCCAAAAAGGTGACGGGGACATTATACTGTAAAAAGGCACCTTCCCTTAGATCAGAGGTAAAACCGAGGTCCTGACTCACTGTAGGTTTTAAAAATTTCATGATGTTCCTCGAAAAGAGTAGGGGTGTTACCCCAACATCTTGGCTAAAATCTCCTATTGGCCTTTACCAATCGTGCCCTCCTAATAATCCCCATCTATGAATTGGCTTCATCACTCTGTTCTCCTCCTCATTGATACCTGATGTGTGGTGAGTGTACTGGCACACTCCAGGTGGCGGCTACACATTGGTGGTGGTGGAGGAGAGTCCCCATTACCTGTAAAGTGCTTTGGGTGGAGTGTTCAGAAAAGCGCTATATAAGTGTAAGCAATTATGATTATTATTTTACAATAATTCCTGAACTCAAACTCTCTTAAAGGGGGATTCCTCTTACAGGCGTTCTGTCATCATCCCACGGATGGTAGCTTCTTGCCATTGGCCCGGCATAGACACCACATGTCTGAACCTGCGGTTCCTCTCTCACTGAGCAGGATTACTATTACAACAAGACATAGTCAGTAGGGTTAAACTGAGCATGACAGTCTAATCCCAGCTCACGGTCCCAATTAGTGGGTGAGCAACCCAATGCTTGGTGAGTTAAGCTTGAAAATAACGGTAAGAGCATCTGCATGAAATGTATAGTACAGTAGGTCACCTGACCACCCTTATTCTCTGCTCCCACTGGTCACACGGGAACACAGACTTCAACGTTGAAATCAAGATCTTTTTCAAGCTTGGAAAGAGAGCAAGAACAAGAATTTCACCTCATTTCAGACGGAAGGGGAGGAGAACAGGGCTGTATAGAAGTAAGGTTTATAAACTGTATTTTGGATTAGGCTAAGTGAGCACAGAAGTAACCTGGGTTCCCTTATCCAGCCAAGCCTTGCTTTATCTTCCAAAAGCTGATAAACCAAAACTTCAAGGAAGTTAGAAATTAATGGGTATCACAGACTAGGGGAGAAAGATATCTAAATGAGGGGAAAATGAAAAAAAAAATAGTATCAGCCCTGAAGAAATAACATGATTTTCTCCCTGTAGGTGCATTTCTCACCAGGATGAGGGATTACATGCCCCCCATGCATAAACAACTGGTCCAGGACATCTCGTCTGGCCCCTCCCTGAGGCAGTATGTCCTGGATGCCGCTGACCCACAGCTGACGCAGGCCTTCAGCACCTGTGTGTCCCAGCTGCTCTCTCTGCGCAGCTACCACATCAACATCGTCAGCCGCTTTATCACCATTCCCGCGGCTCGGGCCAGGCAGCTAAAGAACCGGAGTGAAGGTCCTGCCGAAGCCCTGAGCCGAGCCCCCGTCGCCCTGGAAGAGAGGGGCACCGGGGGCTCCGGCATCATGAATTTCCTGAAGAGTGTCCGAGACAGGACCAAAGAGGTCTCCATCCCCCCTGCCACTCTCTAGTACGAACACCAATGCGGTGTGGGTCTGGAATTCGGAAAAGAACTTTTGTTATCATCTTAAGGTATGGGGGGAAGAAACAAGTGGGTGCAACATTTTCGTCACCCCCCCACTCACTTTGAGTCATTTTACGCTCATTTGTAATGACCTCTTTTTTTAAATATAAATAAGGTTTGAAAACGAAAATCATGTGAAACAACTTTAACGTCAACATTGTTTTTAGAAGGGAAAAAAGTAAAGGTGGTTCTTTTCAAAACTCCTCCTCGAACCTTAATCTAACCTGAGAAGATTCACTCCAATATTCTAAACCTTTTCAGCTGTTCCCATTAAAATGATGTGAATGTAATACTAAATCACTCACGTCTATTGCAAGCGCGTAATACTGAGATGTAATTCCTCTTTGGGCCACTAGAGGACACAAAAGCACACCACATTGTACGGCATGGCATAACGGCAGAGAATGGATCTCTGCCATTCTGAGAATGGAATGGATCAAAAATGTCAATCTGTATTCCAGGAGGGCCGCAGGGCCTTCTGGCTTTTATTACACCAAAGTCCTCACTTACTTAAATGGCTTAATTATTTGATTACATGGGAAAAATATAATAACATTACTGTCACTCCTGAGACAATGCTGTAACTCATATCAAGTGCCCCGTATCAAGAATGTACAGCACATTACCTTAGAAGATTTTGCCTAACTGAGCCAATAGTTGAGCAAGTTATCTGAGAATGTAAGTTTAAATGGAAAGATGCAGGATGTCCAGGCCCCTGGAACTGATATTGAAATCCCCAGGATAGTATGCGCTTCATGAGGATTTTTAGAAAACGCCACTCCCACACCCAAGAGTTCCTGAAATGCTAAAACCTGGGCCTGTGGTTCGAATACAATGGTTTTGGATGGTTTTCTTGATTTAATCAGGTGCTAGTGTAGCAAATGCTGCCTACCACCCTCAAATGCCAAGTGTTGTCTCAGGCACAGTCCTAAGCCCACAAAAAGCGAAACAACCCAAACTAATGTCAAAAGCCCCTCAGCACAAGGGGGTTGGTACACTATTGAGTGGCTTCAGTGGTGCCAGGTGAGTGACATCACTGCCACAGACTCATGGTAAACTGAACCGTAACACTGGCTGTAGATACAAGTCGATTAGGCTAAACAAAGTTCTGCAAAAGGAACGGGGAAAGGTTCATTCCACACGGAAGGGAAAAGAAAAGAGACACAACGTTTCGACTGTGGAGCCTTCTTCAACCTGAAGACAACCTGACACACCCGAAGGCGGCTCCTCAGCTGAACGTTGAGAAACGCCGTGTCTCTGTTTCTCTTCCTTTCAGGATGGAATAAACCTTTTCCTGTTCCTTTGCATTCTTTCCAAGCTGACGCAGCATCCTACTTTAACAAAGTTCTTACTACTAGTGCCTTTCTGTGATTAAAATCTAGTTTTTGTTATCCATGAGATAAAGCAGACATTAGTCTTCAAATATCTCCAACACAAGCCCTGAACTTCTTTGCACTTCATAATTGTGAATATCGGAGATATGAATACATGATTAGAATCCATGAAATAGTTAGGACCCAGGTATAAAACAGTGTTGGCTTTTACCATGAGCTTTTTTTCCCTCAAACGGTGTGAAAGCGCAGGGTGAAATCCACAAGTACGAATAACAGGAGCTTCATTATCCTGTTTTAATGGAGGACAACCCCATTTCTGAAAACTGACGCGCTTTGGAATTTCCCTGGCAGACAGGCAGGATTTATCAGTTACCCTCTCTCTCACTGGCTTCTATTACTGTATATCTTGAGAGCGCTGCAGCTGAGACACATTCCCAAGAAGTCTGTGGGGGGGCATTTCTGTTGAGGCTGGGCACGGCAGTTATTTCACTGAATGAAAAAGTTATCTTACAATACAAACAAATGCCATGGCCTTGAAAAGGACAACTAGCCTGTAATTCTTTCTAACTTCCTGAAGACCACATCAGAGCTGCGGTGAGTGTACATCCCCAAACGTGTAACTGTATTTCCTGGTGGAGCAAAACATCAAAAACACACAAAAACAAACAGATCTACAACAAAGAGCACGTTTCTCATCCCTTCAGTGACTTTTCCTGTGGAGGCCACCCAGTTACAATGATGTACAACTGCAATCCAGATCAGATACGTACTGCATGTGGTGCTGTGTGGAGCTCCACCATGAAAATAATATCCCACAGTCTGAACCAGTTCCTGACTTGCCACTTTAATACAAGGTGCTATACTTTGAAACAAAAAGAAACAAAAAAGTAGACAGCATAATGAATGAGGCAGACAGTTCAAAACAAAGACCCTCAGAAAAATAAATTGAATTTCATGGTGGGCACAGAAAAGCACCCTAAGCTATAAAAACGACTGTGTTTGGTTTTGTTTGAAGCCTTTCCCCTTAACGCTTCACAAAAGGTAAAGGAGCTATTCAAAGTATATGCTGCACAAGCTAGGTGATTTTCTCCGCAAAGAATTTCCTGAACCGTAAAAAAGAGAAGTAACTTCAATATTCACCAAGAATTACCAGTAACCCTCCCAGTGCACCTGTCTTTCACAAGACACAAAATTCTCATGTGAGGAAATGGGAGAAGGGGGGTGTCGGATATAAACAGAGGACTGACTCATATCTGATTAGAATTTTTTTATTGAGCCAAACCAAATAATCACATTCCTTATTACCTCAACATTTGAGTGGAGTCCGTGACAACCTTGAAGTAAACAGCTGCTGTTTCCAGGGATGTGCTCACTGTGTTTCAGTGTCTCACAGGGTCGGGCCCATTTCTAAGGTGTGAGAGGTCAGATGATAGAGGATGGCTTTAACCCTGCCATTCAGTCAGGTTTCAGTGTAATGAAGACATATCCTGCTACACCCTGAACTGCTGCTCTGGTATTTTCCACACCAGCCCACTGCAATCCATTTAATGGGACTTATTTCAGGACAAGCTGTCACTGGTTTAGTTTCTTTGGCAACGGGGTTCCTTTTGTAAAGGAATATGTTTGTGATTCATCAGAACTGGGCACTCCATGACTTTCCCATTGGAATGGCAAGATTGACGGAGGCCTTGCCTGTCTCGACTTAGTTTTATACCAAGATGGCTGACTTGTTTGTATAGGTCTGCACAGATCTTTTCTCGCGTAGGACGAGGTTGCCCGTATTCCTGAGTGTTTCTCAATCAACAGAAACACCAGTGAACAACGGAAAAATCGTAGCAAATGATGGGTTTGTACGTTTTAGCAAGAATGGTAATCCAGTTGCATGACCATGAGGTGTGCGAAGTGCAGCAGAAAGAGGCTGGAGAGTCAGTTGTTGATTGATGTAGCATGGAGTGAAGAAGAAACCCAGCCCATGTCAGTGAATGGAGCTCAGGTCCTCTGTGTTGTTAATGCAGAACACTGACAGCACAGAACAGCCTGTCCTAATGAACCTTGTGCATTAGGACAGGCTGTATATAGGCAGTCGTGAAGACGGCACTACTGCAGACACACAATCAGTCTCTGTGAGTTCATTATGTGGTGAACTAAGATTCACACCACTGCTGTAAAAACCAGATTATTTCAGCTCTCAAAAAATAACTCTTCTTCTACATTCAGATTCACAACAGCCAGTACAGCTGCTTTAGCTTCCAATACTGATAATTATTATTTACAATTATTCAAATAACTGGGGTTCTGGAAAGAAACCTTTTCATTTTTGTTAAGCAGAAGGTAAAATTAGAACTTAAATTACTTTTCCATGACATGTCACATTCCAGCAAGCAGCTTGTATATAAATAACTATTAATAACTCAAAAGCACTCTTCTATTTCTTTTATTGTAAAGAATTAAAGAAAAAAAGATGACAGAGGTTCTATCAGTGATATTCATGTGATTGGTTTACACATTGGTAAGTAACCATTCAAGTTTTTTTAGAGATAACTTGTGTTTTTGCCTTTAGTAGTCCCTCATGCCAAATTAATATAAAAAGACTTGAAGATTAGTACTTATAAACTTATCAACTATTTAAAAATCCCAATATTTCATACAGATTTGTCATAATTTATGTTTCTGTATGGATCTGTAGGTTTCCTCTACTAAGTGTTTAAGTAAGAATAAATGCTGCTTGATGTTTTTTTCTAGTATTACATTAGCAAAAGGACAGTAAAGAATTTCATTTATTCAGTTATTTACCAAGAAAGAAATCACCACATGTTTTAGGCCAGGGGAGTTCTATTAACCAATATTAAGACAGAAGAGGCCAGAGAGTGACAGGTACTGATTGTATTCTACCAGGTCTACTTAAGGAAATGAGATGTTATCTACAGATCACTCTTCTGGCATTCACTCAAGACAGAGTTCATGTCTGTGGATTGGAAAATAGCTCATGTAGCACCCATCCAAAAAGAGTCAAGATATTATAGACTAAGAGATATCACTTCTATAACATGTAAAGTTACTGAGACAACAAATACAACTAGAGGATCATCTGTATGGCAGTACATACAAGAGGATTCAAAATCAATATGGATTTGGATAAGGTAGGTCTTGTTTAATTTGCTCCTGGTAGCTTTTCTTTGAACATGCAAAGGCAGTACAGAATACAAAAACAACATTTACTGCTGTATATTTAGATCAGCAGAAGGCTTTTGCTAAATCTCCTAATAAAGGTAAATTCTTAATCTGCAGGTGCTTGGCTTTCAGGGTGAAGTCTATATTTGGACTGAGAATTGTTTAAAGGATGGTAAACAGAGAGTACAGATAAAGAGTGAATGCTCAAACTGGGCTGATGTAACTATTGGAGAACAGCAGAGATCCGTATTAGACTCACTGCTCTTCCTAATACAGTATACTGTATATCAAACAAGCAGAAATAGTGATATAATCAAATAAAAACCAGCAAAAATGTTGGTAACATTGAACTTGATGAACTTAGTTAAAAAAAGACAAACATTTACATTAACACATCAGTTACATCTAGGGTAATTAATATATAATCTAATATAATTTTAGGATATACAGTATGGTCATGTTTTGGTCACATTACAAAAAAGATGCTGCAGCCCAGAGAAGAGAGACCAGGTGCATTCCAATGCTCAGAGGAATATCCGATACTGATAGACTGAAGAAATCACTTCTTTTTTGTCTTCAACGCAGAAGACTACAGGGGTACAAGCATTCAACATCCTCAAAGATGCTGTTAAAGGCAATCCAATGGACCTGAACAGAACAGTGAAACCTAAACTATGAAGCCTATAACTTTTTTTCAAGAAAATACTGTTTACCAAACAGGCTGAATGAACCGAATGGCCTTCTCTTTTCTGTAACCTTCATCACACAAGGCAAAATAACAAATGTATTTAATATTGAGAACTGTTGGAACTTTTTAAC